TTTTCAAACTATATACAGAAAAGATCATTCGAGAGGCTGGGCTCTATGAGGAGGAATGTGGCATCAGGATGGGAAGAAGACCCATCAACAATCTACCTACATGATGTGGGTGACACAACCTTGCTTGCAGACACTAAGGAGGACCTGAAGTACTTACTAGAGTGGGTCACGGACTATAGTGTTCAATATGTCTTAAAGCTCATCATTAAGAAGACAAAGATTCTCACCAATGAGGCAAATGGTAGCACCATGATAGACAGTATAGTGAGGTTGTTAATGATTACAGCTTGTTTGGCTCCACAATCAACACTCTTGGCACCAGAAGTCAGGAAGTCCAAGAACTACACTGGGAAAATCTACTGTCAGAGACCTCTCCAGAGTACTAAGAAGCAACAATGCCCGCCTATAGACTAAGGTGTGTTTGATTCAGGCCATGGTCTTCTCAATTACTTGCTAGGCATCAGAGAGCTGGACAAGGAATAAGGATGAAAGAAAGAGCAATGTCTTTGAGTCTACGGACCATCAAGGAAACTACATCTTGAAAAGGGTGAAACCAAATTTTTCCTTAGAGGCTAGGACTCTGAAGCTCCGTCTCACATACCATGGGCATGTGGCCAGGAGGAATTGGTCCTTGGAGGACATCATGCTCAGATGGGTGGAAGGAAAGTGCAGGAGAGGAAGACCCCAGATGAGATGGATTGATATGATTAACTGAGGTAAGGGGTAGGTGTATTAAAGTCAGTGTGATAGTGTGGGGTTCAGAGCTGCCGAATAGGGTCACTATGGGTAGAGTCAACCGGAAGGCACATAACAACAACAACAATAGATAAATCTATTGATGAGCAGCACCAAAGATTAGGTAGAAACCTTAGGAGGCAGTTGTTGTTGTTGTTGTTGTTGTTGTTGTTAGTTGCTTGTGACTCATAGCGACCCTAAGTACAACAGCCCTAAACCCTGCTCTATCCTGTGCCAATGGCACTGCCTCTGACACACCCATCCCGATTACACCAGTCACTGAATCAATCCATCTCATCGAGGGTCTTCCCCTCCTGCGCGGTCCCTCCACACTCCCAAGCATGATGTCTCTCTCCAAGGACCTGTCCCTCCTTACCACATGCCCAAAGTATGTCAGATGAAGCCCCAGAATCCTTGCCTCCAAGGAGCAGCCTGATTTAACCCTCTCCAGGGTGAATCTGTTTGTTTTCTTGGCAGTCCATGGTATATTCAATACTCTTCTCCAGCACCACTGATCAAAGGCATCAATTCTCCTTCTATCCTCCCTAGTCATTGTCCAACTCTCTGATGCATAACAAGTGATTGCAAAGGCCATAGCCTGTATCAGATGCACCTTAGTATCCAGAGTGACACCATTGCTCTTCAGTACCCTGGTGAGCTCCCTAACAGCAGACTTTCCCATTGCAATATGTTTTTTGATTTAGGAGGCAGTTGAGTCTTTGTTAATTCAGAAAAGGATGTTACCAATGTTTGCACAAGAAGGTTGTAATCCAAGTCCCTGAATTGTACAGGTACAAACTGACAAATGAAACTATACCTCTAGGAGTTTCTAGCTATAAGGTCTAATTTGACAAAACACAGATCAATATGAAATATAAACAACACTGAGAAAGCCCTGTTTAGATCAATTAGTAAAGCCCTGAATAAGACAGGACTTAAATAACAATGGCCTGTGGAATAATGAGATGACTTTTTTAAGTATGTCAGGGGATATGAAAAAAAGAAATAATTTAGAGAAAGGAGATTTACATGATTAGAGCAGAAAAAGTACAGGGGCTTTCACAGCTAAAAGAGACTTTAAAAAATTCTTACTAAAAGCACCCAATTTCAAGATGAGAGAGAAAACTCTCAAAAAGGTCAAGTTTTACAAAGAGCTAATAAGTTGTGGTATGAAATTGCTCTGCCAACACAAAGCTATGCAGTTTGAATCCCCAGGAGAAAGAGAGGCAATCTCCTCCCCTGTGATTTACTGCCTCTGAAAACTTGGGAGGGCCTGCTATGGGTCAGTTCTCAAGGAACACAAGTAGCAGCTGAGGTACTCTGGATGACTATTATTAACCAGAAGGTTAGTAGTTTAAACCCACCAGCAGCTTTGTGGTAGAAAGATGGCATTTTGCTTCTGTGAAGATTTACATTAAAAACCTAATGGAGTTCTACTCTGTCCTGTGAGGTCTAAAGAGCTTTCATGAACAGCAGGGTTTCAATCTGTTGTTCACTGGATCATGATGAATTGGAGTTGCTGTAAGCTGGAGATGGCACCTAACAACAGTAATACTGGAAAAGAATTCAGACCTTCTCATTCTTCCTCATTAAGCACTCTGAGAAAGCCCTGCATCAGATGCCTTTGTTGCTGGTATGTGCCATCAAGTCTGAATCAAGTCATCACTGACCCCCTGATTTATTAGATGTTATAAATTCCACAGAGGAGGCTGTGCATCTTTATCCCCCAAGAGCAGCTGATGGGTCCGAACAGAATGCTTTTAAATGGGCCGCACACGGCCTTACCCACTATACCAACAAGAGCTCCTTTAGATGCCCTTAAAAAGAAAAAACAAAACAAAACAAAACAAAAAACCCACACACAATGCCAAGTCTTCTCTTCCTATCTTAATGCTGTTTAAGTGATAAGACACATTACAAAAATATAGTGGGGGGGGTGGGAATACAAAAACAGGATGTAGTATGCTTCTTTGTTTTGATTTTGAGGTGTATTTTTTTAAGTGCCAAATTATGTAGTATAAAAATGCACTGGTACTCAGGAGTGGGATTTCAACAACAAAAAGGGAGATTAGGAATCCAAAAAAGAATTCATAACCAAATTAGTGATTATTGGAGTGGTACTTGAAGGGAAAAATAATAATGATTTGTGTCCATAATTGTATGAACTCTAAGAAAGACACTAAAGAGCAACAAACAACAGCAATTTTTAAAAAATCTCTGAAAATATATAGTTTTCCTTACATGGTCACAAAAATGAAAACAAAAGGACAGATCAAAAATTTCCTGGGTAACAGAAAATTTTAGGAACAGTTAATAATGATGGCTCAACAATTCAATTAATACATTTAATTTAATGTCACTAAGGTTGATATATAAAGACTTAAAATGTTTTGGTATCTATACTGAGAGTACCCCTTGTTTTTTAAGTTAAAAAACAAACCAAAAAACCCTCATGCTTGCAAAATCTCTTTAAATTACAAAAGGCCTAGTTACAATGTAACTCTAGCAACAAACTGCACAAATTCTAGGTATTAGAAACTTACCAGGCAGGTTTGTCCTACTGATTCTTCCAACACACCACTGATTGCTGAGCTGTACTTATTTTTTAAAAACAATACCACAGAACGAAAGAATTCTACTTTCCTGAGAATTGTGAACTTTGAGATTATACTTTTTTCTTTTCTTTTAGGAAGGCGTTCTGGCTTGGTTTTAAACCTCTAGTTAACAATCAATTTGTTCTAAAATCCATAAGCTGGGTTTACAGAGATAGGGTAAAGTATATATTCATGAAAGTCCTACCTGCTAAGAGGATCAAGCATATTTAAAAGATCTCATTCACATTTTAGCGTTTGGATAGATATTTTTTTACTAGCTTGGCTGTCTCTAGTTCCAGCAACAAGTACTTTTAGCCAAATCTCCTTCAAACCAGGAACAGTATCTTAAAGTCAATGACACTGTTTATTATTCTACCACCAAGAATCCTGAGATAATTTTACGTAACGACTCAAAATCTCCTTCTGAACTATTCACTAAAATGACTTGCCAGTAGATCTTAAAATGGTTTACTAAAAGTGTTAGTTTTCCACGAAAAAAAAATGGTTTGCATTCTCTATAATCTATAAAAAAAAGTAAAAACTAGGAATCAAAAATAGCTTTACACAAACAAGAGTAAAATTGTAGGTTTTACAGAGGGCATCACCCATTTAATTTAACCCCACTTGATCAGGAGCAGGAAGCCACAGGGCTGTTTTCTTCAGAGTTACTTGGAAACAAATAAGCTACAGAAAGGGGCAGAAGAGTGTAGCTGAAAAGAGTATTTGAATGCAATTGCTCAGAATTCCCAAAGTGACACTAAGAGTTAAGAAAGAGCATCGAGGACCCGCCTCAAGATGAGTCTATAACTGAGTCAGTGGCTGAAGTGGAGAAAAACACAGGCGCTCGGGGTTGGGTTCCCTCTCCCTTCCCCTACCCAAACAGTAAAGAAAGCGCGCCCAGCATTAACACAGCCCATCGCTCTCGGGTTTGCCACCACAGCAGGAGCGACGTTAGAGCAGCGATCCAAGAGACCGAGCCCCAGGTCTTGGTTGCTAGGCACAAAAAAGGGCCTCTCCCCTACAGACCTGTGTGAATAGTGTGGGCTTTCTACCCAGGAGTTTGGGTGCACCTTCACTTTTTAAATTTTTTTAAACGAAAGCTTTTAAAGTGGCGACAAGGTAACAAAAAGTTTCCCTTTGAGGATGATCTGTACATCTGCGTTACACAGATACACATTAGGTGGGTCAGTCCCACCTCCTCGTCTCCACTATCATTACAAACTACAAACTTAACCATTCCAGAACATTAGCGGGGAGAACAGAGAGCAAAGCTTCCACACCCACCCTCCCACCAACAGCCTCTCCAGGCACCGTTTCCTGGTCCTAAACAGCACAAACCACCTCCAAGCACGGTGCTAACCAGCACACGCACACAAGGGGAACCTGCCACGACCCAGGAAAAAAACCGGCCGGGTGAGCCGGCAAGGAGGCCCCCTGTCATTTAAGGACAACAACACGCCCAGGAGAGAAGTGGCAGGAGACTGGGGGAGTTGCCCGCAAAAACAAGCCCGAGCTACCCCACTTTCTTAGGAACGCAATCCCCTCGCGCGGCCGGGAGCGGCCCGGCCTCAGGACCCCGAGCCCGGCCAGGGCTGGGGGCTCGCCCAGGGGCCGCCACGCCTCGCGGCGCTCGCTCCCGGCGGAGGCCTTCGATCGCCCGCCCGGACTCACCGCCGGTGTGTCTGGTTCTCAGCCGCGAGCTGGGGCTGCCGTGAAAAGGCGGCGGAGGAGACGAGATCCGGGGCCCCGCCGCCGGGTCATCATACCCCCAGCGCGAGCCAGCTCGGGCCCCGGCCCCCGGGAGCCGCCCCCGCGCTCGTCCCGCGGGGGGAGCCTCCTCGGCCTCCCGCCCACTCCGCCACTCCGGCCCCTTCCCGCCGCCGCCGCCACCACAGCCCTGCGCGCTCCCGCCTCGGCCTCCCGCTGTCGTCCGGGGCCACCTCCGGGCCCCTCGCTCCGCAGCCGCCGTTGTCGCCAGACCTGACGAGCCGAGCGTCGAGCGGCCGCCCCCTTCCAGCCGGCCCCGCCTCGCCAGAGCCATTCACCCGCCCGCGCCATGACACCTACTGAGGCGGAAGTGCAGAAGAGCTCGTTGACTAGGACGCCCGCATAGTTCTGATGGCTGTGGGAGAGGGTGGGCCTCTGTGGGGAGCCAGCGTGGACCCAGGTGGGGAGCCGGCTTTCCCGCCTCCCCCTCCCGCCTGGCTCTGCGATGATTTAAAGGTGCATGGTGGCGGCAGGAGGTCCTGCTGTAAACTGTCATCGCAGCCAGTGTGATATCACCACAATCTAGTGTGACACCCCCCCAGAGATTGAGCAGCAGGGAGGCAGTGCCTATCTGGGAAGTCCCCCTGCTGGTGAGGAATTTAGACTTTAATATTTCTTTGCCTTGTCGAGATTTTTTAGCAGTGTGACATCCTTGTTTGAGATCTGTTAAGTCTCAACGTGATACCTGGGAGTTCTCCCATTGCCGCCGTGGGAACCTACCTTAGGAGAAGATAAAGAATAGCCTTGCTCTGAACCCAGCCACTCAAAACAAAGCCAGAGAATGCCGATAGAATTACCTTACCTCTTCCAGGAAAATGGAAAACACACAATTCCGGGAAAATGAACAGAAAAGTAGGCCACAGTTGCTGTCTCAGTACCAAGAGATTCTGTAGGGCTATAGCTGTATCTTGTGCTGTAAAAAGTGCCAGACGTTTCTAAGAAGACTGGGTGATGTAAACTATTTAGATTTCACTAGATAGTGTAATTGGGAGCTCTGGTGGCCTAGTGATTGGTTCAGCTCTGCCCTGCCGACCATTAAATGGTAGGTAATTCCAACCCAACAGCTTCTCTTCCTGAGAAAAATGGGACTATCTGCTCCCCATAAAGATTTACAGCCTTGGAAACCCTATGGGACAGTTCTGCCCTGTCCTGTATGGCCGCTGTTAGTCAGAATTGACTCAGGCAGTAGGTATTGCCTTGATTCAGTTTAGACTCAGTGTGCCCTTCCTCTAGGTTCTGAGATATTCGCAGTGTTACTGTGTTAAGTCTGTTGTATCCACTGGGTCAATCCATCTCCTTGAGGAGGGTCTTCCTGGTTCTTGAAGACTTCTTGGTTACTAAGTATCATGTATTTCTCAAAGACTAGTCCTTCCTGATAGAAAGCATGTCTCACTCACTAGCTAGATTTACTAAGGAGCCTCCTGGCTGTACTTCTTCTAAGACACTTTTGTTCCTTCCATGATAAAAGATACCAGTCTTTCTTAGCATTTTCTACCTTCCATGTGCATGAGGTTATTGCAAATACTAAAGTTTGGGTAAGGGATACCTTAGTACCTTAGTTCTTAAAGTGACATTTTAAAGCCTTATTTTTTATTAATCCTTTTTAAATTATAATTATTAATTTTAATGAAGTTTTACAGAGACTTTGTATTCCCATTCATTCATTGTTGTGTTTTTCTCCCTGTTCCCCCACCCCCACCCCCCACACACACACACTTTTAGCTTCTTCACACCTTAAAGAAATCTTGTCATGGCAGGTTTGTCCACTGCTGACCTCCAATAAGTTGGATTAGCATAGTGATTGTAACAATGGGTTTAAGCATAACAAAGATAGTGCAGGATAGGGCAAGGTTCAGCTCTTTCTTTTTTTTTTTTATTATTATTTTTTATTATTTTGTGTGCGTGTACCATCAAATCAGATCTGACTGGTACAGGAGGATATTGCGCCTCCTTCTCCGGCAGAGCATCTGGTGGATTCGAACCGTGTTCCTCTGGGATTGCAGTGCAGCTTCTTGCCACTAGGCCACCAGAGCTCCCCAAGGTTCAGCTCTTTCGTTCCTTTGTAGTGTGCTCTATGGCACCCATAAACATCTTGCATAGTGGATTGTGAACACAGGAAACACTAAATCCTTGGCAACCTCAGGATTTTAACCTTTTATGGAAAAGTGGAGGATCAGCGAAAGAGAGGAAGACTCTCAACAAGATGGATGACACAGTGACTATAATAATGGGCTAGAGTGTATCCGAGATGATAAGGGTGGCACAAGATAGGAGAAGGTTCAGATCTGGTGCTCATAGGGTCCTACTTAATGGCACCTAACAACAAAAAACATTATAATGTCGCTTATTAGCTTACTTGTGAAGATTTTTTGTTTCTAAATAATCCATATTTGGATCAATAAATGCTTCAAGTACTCTTTACTTTCAGCAAGCAAGATTGTGTCATCTGCATATCACATATTGTAAATAATGTGTCTTCTTCCAATTCTGAGGATCCATTCTTCAGACAGCACAGGGGTTTTTTTGATTATTTACTCAGCATAGAGATTGGCTAAATAGGATCAAAGATCTCAGCTATAACACACTTTTCCCTATTTTAGACCAGGCAGTATCACCTTGATCTGCAGAAATTACTTCTTCTTGATCTATGAAACAAAATGTTATGGAATTTTCATTATTCATAATACTATCTATGCTTTGATCCACATAATAAATATCTTTGCATAGTCAATAAAGCACAGGTAAACATTGTAGTTTTCTCTGCTTTCAGTCAACATCCATAAGCAGTGATCTCCCTTTCTCACTACACTTCTAAATCCAGTTTGAATTTTTGACTGTTTACTGTCTACTACTACAAATATTATCTCTGCTAGCCCACTGACCAGGTGTCTTCCAAGTGTCTTAGCCTAGAGAAGTAAGCATTTCCAGTGTTGTTGAAACACCTCAACTGATATTCCATCAATTCCTGAAACCTTGCTTTTCACCAGTGTCTTCAGTATAGCTTAGACTTCTTCCTGTTTCTTGATCACATCCTACTTCTTGATAGTTCAATATCACTCATTTGTTTTTGGTAGACTGACTCTATGTATTCCTTCTATTTTCTTTTGATGATGTCTATGCATCATTCAGTATTTTCCCCATGTCGTTTGTTAAGTGCCATGGTGTCAGCCATGCTTCATAGCAAGCCCATGAACAGATCTAAGCCTCACAGAATCCTGCGCAATCCTCATCATCTGTCACACTCAGGCCCATTGAGGTAGTCACTGCGTCAACCCATGCAGTTCAGGGTCTTTCTCTGTTTTGCTGACCCTCTACCTTTTCCAGCACATGAAAAATTTCTTGTATAGTCATTAGAAAAAAACTATTTACCATAAAACAGAGACTGACAATGGTCCATATTTCCAAACTATCATACCACTCTATCATCTCTGATATTAATTATTCCACCTCCATTCTGTTTCCCTGCTCCCATCTGTCTTTTGGGCTCTCTAGTTCTCTGGAAGGTCTCACAGAAACTTACAATCCATCAGGAAAATTACTTACCTGACTGTGGATAAGAGGCCGATGTTGCTAACTAGTGAGTAGTGGGTCAGGATCCTGCACACTGTCTGGCATGGCTTAGTTGCTTTGTGAGAGTGAAGAGTGAGCTGCTGTGAGTTGATAAAGACCTGCCCTATACCTAGCTCCTTAAAACAACAAATAACGTCATTGTAAAATGGAAGGAGCCCTTCAGCTTAATCTGTCTCTTCAAGGATTGGTTCCTCCTTAAAATATGCACAATATAACTGAGACAAAATTTCACCATCCTTGCTTCTAAGATCTATGGTTGCATTTAATTAAAAAAAATATTTGCTTGTTATTTTGGCAGTCCATGAGATATTCAGTGCTCTTCACCAACATCACAATTTAAAGAAATCTATTCTTCTTTTGTCTTCCTTATTCATTGTTCAACTTTCACATGCAGAGAAAGTAAATGAAAATACCATGGCTCAGAGCAGGTACACACCTTAGTCTTTAAGATCACAGTTTTTGCACACCCATGTTTATCTCAGCTTTGTTCACAATAGCAAATGAATGGATAGAGAAGCTGTGGTATATTCACACAATGGAATACTATGCTGCATTAAAAAACAAGGAACTCATGCAATATTATTCAAAATGGGTGACTCTGGAAGACATTATGCTGAGTGAAGTATCTCAGTCACAAAAGGAAATACTCCACAGTGCCACTGTTATAAAATGGGTCTGACATCAGGGTTGGGGGGAGACTGAGCAAGATGGGATAAATTATGTATACTGCATTGAAACAGATGAGGGAGAGAACTGTTTAAAAGGGATATATGATTAGGCATTACTGTCATGACAAGAGTCCAGAATGAAGGCTGCATAGTGGAGTGGACTTTGGGGGAGGGATTGTATAACAATGAAAAGAATTTTTCTTTCACTTTTCTTTTCTTGCTTTGTCATTTCAAGGTGTCCTTTGAAATCTTCTGTTCATCTCTTTTTAAATTTTTTTATTTGATACTGGTTTACATACAAAGTTCATAAAATTGCTATACATTATTTTTCACACCAACTCTTTCCCCTTTTATTTACCCATTCCTCCCTCCACCCATCAAATTGTGTGACCCTACGATTAAGCACCCCCCCCTTTGGATCCCCATACTAGTTCTACAATAATGGTCTTACAATGTATTTGTCTTTATGAGACTTAGTTCACTTACCATATTACTCTCCAGTCCCTCCCATGTTAGGTAGTAATTTACAAAATCATATTTACCATCACAAGACCATGGAAACAGCACAAATGCCCAACCACAATGGAATGGATTAAGAAATTATGGTACGTTCACACAATGGAATATTATGCAGCACATCTCTTTTACTTCTGTGTTTCTCCCCTTTCTTTTGGCTTCTCGACACTCTAGTGCAGTTTTGTGAGTCTTTCCCATCATCTACTTTGGTCTTTTTTTTCCCCCTTCCTTTTTGTGATAACCTTTGCTCTCTTCATAGATGATATC